TTCGATGCTTCTCAACGTAAGTTACATAATATATAATACTTTTATGTATAATTTTTAAATTCTTATTGCATATACTTTTAAGTACTTAATATTATAATATAATATTTGTTTCGTAGGATGGAGACCGAGAGGCAGGAGAAGCGGACAATTCCAAAGGACAAGAAGATTTTTTAATTTTTGTTCAACATGTGCGACAACTATAACAAACACTATTTCGGAGAAAGAGGAAGAGGAAGAGAAACAGGAAGAAATTAATAATTTATTTTTATTTCTTAAAAAAATAGTTTTACTATGTAATTCTGTTATTTATTTTAAAATGTTAAAATGTTGTTAAAAAATGTTGTTAAATGTTTACAAATAAATTAATAAATTAATAATATATACACTGTTAAATCTATAGTGTCAACCTAAATCTATAGTGTTTAACCTCATTAACTCATCACTGCTCCTACTTAATAAATAGTTACTTTTAACCCTTTGGGTTATATTTGAACTATTTTAAATTATTGAACTCCATTGTTTTATTAGTTAAAAATAACTTAACCTTAATTTAACCTTATTAATTCACCACTGCTCCTACTTAATAAATAATTATTTTTAACTAAAACAATGGAGTCAAATAATTTAAAACAGTTCAAATTTAACCCAAAATTGGGTTAAAAATAACTATTAAGTTAGGAGCAGTAGCGAGTTAATAAAATTAAACACTGTAGATTTAGGTTGACACTATAGATTTAACAGTGTATATATTATTAATTTATTAATTTATTTGTACACATTTAACAACATTTTTTAACAACATTTTAACATTTTAGAATAAATAACAGAACATAGTAAAACTATTTTTTAAGAAATAAAAATAAATTATTAATTTCTTCCTCTTCCTCTTCCTCTTCCTCTTTCTCCGAAATAGTGTTTGTTATAGTTGTTGCACATGTTGAACAAAAATTAAAAAATCTTCTTGCCCTTTGGCGTTGTCCGCTTCTCCTGCCTCTCGGTCTTCATCCTACGAAACAAATATTATATTAAGTACTTAAAAGTATATGCAATAAGAATTTAAAAAAGCTACAAAAACTTTGTACATAAAAGTATTATATATTATGTAACTTACGTTGAGAAGCATCGATGTTGGCGGCATGCGGAGCAGCAGCGGTAGAATCACGCGGAAAAGCAGCGGCGGCGGCGATGATATTGGCGGAGGCGGTGCGCGTGGTGGCGGCAGCATGCGGAGGAATAGCGGCGGTAGCGGTACGCGAAGGAGCGGCGGCAGCGGCGGCATGCGGAGGAGCAGCGGCGATAGCGGTACGCGAAAGAGCGGCGGCGGTGGCGGCGGCGGCATGCGGAGGAGTAGCGGTGGTAGCTGTACGCGAAGGAGCGTCGGCGGCGGCGGCGGCATGCGGAGGAGCAGCGGCAGTAGCGGTACGCGGAGGAGCAGCGGCAGTAGCGGTACGCGAAGGAGCGGCGGCGGCGATGGTGGCATGATGCAGAGGAGCAGTGGTGGAAATGACCTCCGTAAAATTTTGTAGCCGTCTTGAACTTGCAGGGCAGTAGGGAAGAGACTTGAACAAGTCTATATTTCCATCCAAATCCACATTCTCTAAGTCTATATCCAGCATCTGAAATTGAAAAAATGTACATATGTATAATAAAATTTTAAATAGAATTTAAATTAAAAAAATATTTGTAAATATTACAAATACTTACGTCTTGTTCTTGCGTCATTTTGATGAGCAGCAATTACTGACACTTAAATGATTTAAAAGTTGAAACATGTCAATGGCCTCGAAATGCTAAGAGTGCATATATATTTTTCTTAGAAAAAATAAATAAATAAAAAAATCAAATCAGTAAACTATTGAAATTGAGAAAAGATACATTAAATTAAAGTAACAATTTTATAAATAACAATGTGTTTATTTTTAGAAGGTTTAAATTCTATTATAATTTAACAAAAAGCAGTAAGATCCCATAAAAAATCTTTTTAAAAAAAGAAAGAATATACGCCAAGTACCTAAAAAAAATGTGTTGATCAAAAATAGTTGTAAAATCAATAAAATTAATCAAGTACTTCATTATTAAAAAAAGACCTCAAAAAATCTTATTTATGAAAAATATTCAAAAATTGAAAAATAGAAAAGTGATAAACTAGATTATAATGAAGAAAAAACTTGGCGTGCCCGGGTCGTTTTAAAATGCAATATTCCACATGTTTTATAGTATATAAATTATTTGCAGATATATACAAACATGAAACTAATAGTCAGACAAAGTACCTTTGTCGCATGAAAACGTTCCACAGCCAATGATTTATAGTATATGAAAAATTTGTAATACAAATAAATATGCATATATAAAATC